GTTTTCACTTATCCCCTTCATAATTCTCGTCTTTTCAGAAATGTTTTGTTTTCTGAACTCTACACTCTTAATAGTTATTCCACCACATGTGTGACTATGCAATCAGTAATGATTTTTGCAGTTTTAAGATTTATTTTCGAAGAAATTTTGGACGAAGAATCAGCTGTTTTATTCAGTGATCAGTTAATATCTGCCTGGAGTAATTTATAAGCGTTTGGAAGTTAGGCATACAATGATCCAGTCAAAGTACTTTTTCAATAAACTTGCCCAACAAGTACAGACTGCTTTATTTAACCACACGTTATACGCTATGGTGAACACATTTTACATCTGTCCATGTACCTGCATTTGTGTGTGCATAATGGATGTACATAGTTTGAATCTGCAGTAACTTGTTCAATATTAAAGATTTTCTATAGTTTGGTTTGTAAGGAATAGTTTTGTTTTTACGAGTTGATCACGGATTAATATCAGTTAGTGAACCATTGAAAACCAGGGAGTACTGCCATACACCTGTTTCCTCAGTCTTAGTTTGGGACTTGTCGGCAGTACGCAACCGCTGAGATTGGAATCCAGGACCTTCCGGTTACAAGGCAAGCTCGTATACCATTCAGCCTTGTAACTGGAGGGTCCTGGGTTCGAATCCCAGTGGGTACGTACAGCCGATGATTCCCAAATTAGTATGAAACAGCAGCTGTCTGGCAGTACTCCCTGGTTTTCAATGGTTCTCTAACTGATATCGATCCGTGATCAACTCGTAAAAATGTCATATAAATGTTTCTAAAGAACTTGAAAACATCTTAATAAGTGTATTGATTAAAATAAGCCTTGTCTAGTTAAACCTAAAAATTGAGTAAACAAAAAATGCCTATTTAATCATAGACTTTATCTGACCTACACTAAATAATAAATTATGATTCAATAATTGCCTTAGGCAACTATGACCTTTAATTGTTTTCTAATCAACAGCAATACTTATAAATTAAGAGAAGAAAAAATAATTAATGTAATCCAAAAAGTGAGTCATCTGTAGTTACTCTATTAAAATTTAGTAGTAACACAGGTAGGTAAATATGAAAACTTTAAAAATTCATGATTTTAATGTTTCACGTATCTGTGTGTGACTGTTAAGTCAATACTTATTATTATTATTATTATTGTATCCTTTAGTTCCTAGAGGAACATAGGGCTTCAGCTGCGCACCTCCATTGCCTTCGGTTTTCTGACAACTTTTTCACCCTGCTCCAGGTATGTCCACATGCTTTCATCTCCTCTTAACATCACCTCCTCCACTCCAAGTCACCCCACCCTGTCACTGACGACCAACTCGCCGCCCGCTTCCCTTTCGGCCTGGTTCCACTCGAGCAATGGCTTGTCTAGTGATGTCACCCAATTGATGGTTTCCTCAGTGTATGGCCAATACAATACATCTCCATTTCTTTCTGCCTATTCGCTGCACAATCGGTTCGTGGTTGGTTCGCTCATTGCTAGAGATCCCTATGGCTGATCTTTTCTGGCCGGCCATCTGATCTGGAGTATTGAGCGAAGACAGCTGTTGATGAAGGTGTGTAGATTCTTCGAAGTGCCCTTCGTGATGTGACTCCAAGTCTCTGAACAATAAAGTAGCAGTGACTTCACATTACAGTTGAAAATCCGGATCTTGTTTTTCATGCTAAGTGCTGTGAATCTCCTTACAGACTTGAGAGTGATGAAAGTTTACTTTGCTTCTCCCTATCCTCCCTTTGATATCTTCATCACTTCCATCCGTCTGTAGTGGAAACGATGCTTCCCAGGTAGGTGAAGGGGCTGCTATTTTCAGATTTCTCCCATTTATACTGACTTGTCTGCTGTTGTTGCTGTTGGCCAGGAATCTTCATCACCTCTATTTTCGCTATGTTCACCTGAAGGCCAATCTTTGATGCTTCTTCGGCCAACTTGTTGCTGTTCACTTGCATGTTTTCCAGTTTGTGGGAATTCAGACATATACCATCGGCGAAGTCCAGATCCTCCAAGATTTTTGTGCGTGTCCATTCTATGCCTGTTTCCTTTCTGCCCGCCTCTGTCTGTCACATTACCCAGTCTACCATAATCAGGAAAATCATTGGACATAGTAAGCAGCCAGCCAGCCGGCCTTGTCTTACTCCCGTCTTCACTTCTTAGAAGGATTCCGTAAGTTTCCCGTTGTGGATTACTTGGCGTGCAGCATTGTCGTGCAACTGTTGGATGAGGTGTATAATTGTTGGTGGCAATCCATAGTAGCGAAGTAGTTTCCAAATCACCTCCTCATCAACGCTGTCGAAGGCCTCTCCAAAGTCAGTGAAGTTGAGTGAGGTGGAGAGCTGACTTCCATTCTAAACTCTGTTCAGGGATGTTCCATAGTGTGGCGATTTAATCGATACATGACTTGTTCCTCCCGAATCCAGAGTGTTCCGGTCGAATTTTTTATTTTCTTCTCTCCAAGATGATGCGGCTCAGTATTTTGCTTCGGATGGACAGTAGCATAATGGCGGGCCAGTTCTTGCATTGACTTAAGTTTCCTTTCTTTGACAACTTGAGTAAGTAGCCTTTCTTCCAACCCGCAGGTGCCTTGCCCTCCTTCCACACCTTCTCCAGTAGTAGTGTCATCAAGTTCACTGATGTCTCTGGGTTCATTTTCAATGCCTCTGCTTATGCAGCTATTTCCAAATTCATATTTAGGCATTTAGAAAGACAACAGATTGAGCGAAGAAATATATTACTCTTCAGCTAGTTCTTCATTACCAGCTGTTCACTCATAATGTTTCATAAGGACCTTCTAAAAAACTTTCAATGCAGCTAAGCTTTGCTATAACTTCACTAGCCAACCAGTATTTAGTTCAAGAAACAAAGATGAGCTGCTCTGTTTGGCCTCTTCCATATGTATTTACCAGTTTAACTGCTAGTGCAGAGCTAGTTACATCGGGCGTGAGATCAGCCAAGTTCATCATCGAATTTCTGAACAACTCCCATCTTGGTTTGGTAAAGACAGCTCCATACTAGCTCATGTCGTCGATATGACAATGAACATCAAGTTGAATCTAAAAAAGATTTTACAATTATTCATCGTATATCACCCACTCCCTCGCATAGTCTAGTAGTATGACTTTTACATACAGCAGAGGCAATCAGAATTCATCTGAACATGCCAAATCTGTGTGTGTGTTCAAAAGAAATTTGTACAGCCCATTTTTGATTATGTAATAACTTGTTGCTAGCTCCTATGAATTAACTTATCTTGAATTCCGGAATTAATCAGTTTTCACCCTACTCCAAAGCTTAGGTATCTTGTTACTAACATCTATCAGTTATGATGTTTTGATGACTTTTAATCTATTAATTTCACCCGCCCCCCTATACCTGAGACTGATTAACTAAAACAACCACTTGACTGGAAACACTTTGATGTGAAAAAAAAACTATATATTAGTGTGGAGCCAGCCGATGATGAGGAATTAATTGAAAAGGAACATATTTCTTCGCTCAATCTGTTATCAAGCTATCTAAGGCATATTATTTCAAACAGTTATAATTATACAGAATGGAATTTTCAGCATTTGTACATACTACAGCAATTTATCCCCTTTTACATATGGATAAATACATAAAATGGCAAATATAATAAAACCATAAAAAGCTGATAGTTAAATGGAAAAATTATTTACGCAATAATCATTATGGTGGTAATTTGAGGTTTATTTAAAAATTAAAAAACAGGTTTACAAGCTCTCCTTTGACATTTATCTCTTCACACAAAACCCTTGCTAATCAAGGTATGGTTGAATTGTGATATTTTGCTGTACGAGCATAAATTCTGACGAAATTTCTTCCAGTTTTACTTGAAGAGATACAAGGAGAAAGTTACAGATAAACAGGATGTTCAGCATAAGACAAGATGACTTCAGCCAACCACTTGCAAGAATTAAAATGTCTATCAACAACCATGTGAGTTAGTTTAGTCAAAGGCACACCACCATCCCTGCTTATAGCCTTCATAGTCCCATCTAACATAATATGGTCTTTCTTAAAAAGTACGGGGGAAAATAAGAGGGAACAATAAAGAAGAATGGGTGGAATACACGAATTAATAAACTGCAAGGGAAGAGGTTGTATTACTCCAGGACGTCTCAACATCTTTATGTAATATATCAGACGAAAAATATTTTTGGAAATCAATAAGACATAAGACGACCAACAGAGATTAGAAGAGAAACTGATACCAAGGTAGGAGATATTCAACCTACTCCTTATCATAGTGCTGTTAACATTACATAAATCATGGGAGCAAATCAGTCCACGAAAGTCTTTTTCACATCCAAGACTAAAATCAATGGTAAGATACTTAGATTTAGTTTGAGACCATTGGTTAACCTCATATCATCATAACGATCCAGTGCAGAAACCAGTGGGACAAAAACTGTCACATCATCAGTATATTTAATGAAATTAACTTCAAGAGACTACTGTAGGTCATGCAAAAAGAAAGAAAAGAAGGAGGTACAGCACCGTGAGGCACACTAGCTTCCGTAAACAAAGACGTAAAGCGCTTCCTATTTATAACAATTTGTTGTTTCCCGCCTAGAAAATAGGAAGATGACCACCTTGTGATCCAGGACTCAGTGCATAGTGAAATCAGCTTGCTCAGTGGACTGATTGATTAAATTGCCAGTTAATTAGTCAGCATAGCCATGCAGATTCTAATAGATATTCCAACTAAATGATTCTTCACTACTTATTTCTTAAGTTTGAATTCGGATTTATTTCGGAGTAGATTACATCACGAGTCAACATCATTTAGTGAAACACTGAAAATCAGAGAGAACACTAGGCAGTAATTCCATCGTAGTTTTGAATCTGTCGGCTGTGCGCACCAACAGAGCTCCCTCCTTAGAATACTGTTATCGCTGAATAAGACATTAGACTTTGTATAATAAAACAAAAGTATTTCTACTAATAAATCAACTCTATTTTATAAACATTTTTAGACGAGCATACAACTTCTGAATTACAATAAAGACTACATTCGAAAACCATTAGAAATCGCTGAAGGATGCTTGGCAAACAGGGAACAAAGACAAGGTATTGATGAAGTTAAAGATATTGTCGAGAAAGCATTGAGTAAAGTAAGTAAATGATCACAACATGAGAATACAGATAGAGTTTATATTTCTTTACATAACAGATCGTTTTAGTATTTAATGCGTGTCAAAAAGTGGGACATTTTGTTTACGAAATGAAATTATTTTTTGCGGACTGAATTGTTGGATGTTTCTGACGACTTTAAATACCTTGACGCTGGTGGTACAGCACATACTTGGCTTTCTTCGCTACAGCATATTTCATTATCTTGCAATGACAGTTTATGCATAAAATCTTGGCAACTGTTTTGATACCAAACTTATGATTCATACTACGAAGAGTTTTTGGCTATGGATGACCATGATGATTTGTCACCTGAAATAATTAATGTTTAGAAGTTCATCTGACACCTCACCTTCAAATCTTGATTATTCCTCGCTGTATGTTCACACACACACATAAATAGGTATACAACGTAGAATGTAGAGGTATCATTTTTCGAATTTTTAAATCTATGGTAGAGTATATGTTTGGCTTTCTGAGGAATGGTAAGTTGAACTCAAGAGTATGTTCAGAAGTACAAGTTTTCTGCAATTTTGTTCCATGAGTGTAAGACTGAGATGATTTTTAAGGAGTTAAATCTTTCTGGCCGATACACTCTTGATTTGTGTTTGCTCCCTATTGCAATGATATCGGTAATACGCCTCCTATGAAAAACAAACTCAAAAGTGAAATCATAACGTCGAATTTTCAGGACATGATATATGACACGGTCATTTCAAAGTCCTGAGTGAATTGCTTTACACACTCTTTATAATTATCCTAAAACTTAACAAAAACTTCAAGTAACGATGAACGAATGTGATTATAAAATTTAGTTATCATTCATTCTTTCGGATCAATGCCAATTCATGGAGGATATTCTATCATATAGTATCAATAAATTAGAAGGAAAGGCAACATGTAATCCAATAGGACTTCAGAATATTATTATGACTGATGGAGAGAAATTTAATTCTTTAATACTTATGGAATATAAATTTCTAAATCTGTATCCTTTGCCTAAGATGCTTAATTTTGTCTCTATATATCAAGAGTAGTGTCAGTTATGGTTCACCTTTTTCTTGAATGTATTTTTATTTTGTTCATCTTAACAGACTCTCTGTTTATGCTACATTCACCTAAATTTCCCTAACATATAGATATTTAATCAGACCATTTGAAATGTATCGCACAACTACATCGTAAATTTTCAGATAAACTACATTTCATAGAGGATTTCATCATGAGCTGACATCAGTTAGAGAACCACTAGAAAACCTGGGAGTACTGGACAGCTGTTTCGTCCTAGTTTGGGACTCTTCATCAGTACGTACCCACCGGGGTTCGAACCAAGACTTGAAAACTACATTTCGTCATAGATGTCCCCAAATTTATTATGAGGACTAACTGTTTCAAAGCCTTTAAATTATTTACTTAGGTCCTGTTCTCTTGATTTCTTCAGATTTAGTCAGTCACCTTTAAGTTACCAGGAATCACTAGATTAATAACTCATCTTCCACTACTTTGAAATACATAAGACACAAGTAAGATTGAGCATGGGTATATTTTGTTGAATAACTGCTTTTTTTAAATCTCTTGACAAAAATGAAACTAAACTATCAACGTAGAATTTTTCCCAAGGCGCATCTGTTCAATTTATATTACATCGGAAATTTCAAACACAAGAGTAGAGGAAAGATATGTAAAACAACAAAAACAGGTTTGATGCTCGAGAGAAAGAAAAAATAAGTCAGGATTTTCAGAATCTGGAAAATGGCAAACTGGGATTCCATTTGGGTCATTGGAGACAGTTTTGGACCATATCACCAGCAGTCCTAAGGGATGGTTATTAGCATTTTCAGGTTTTTGTCCGCAGGAATGCGAGTGATTTCAAGTTAGATCACGAACTCACATCCATTATAGGATCATTGGAGTCTACGAATTATTGTAGAGCGCTTAGACCCTACTTTGTGACTCTTCAGTAGTATGCGCCCAAAATACTAAGATGGATCTAACGTAGGACCTTTAGATATTGAGGACAGCCTACTTACCAATCAGTCACTGGGACATAATCTAATGGATTATGAATTCTAAATTCTGTCAATATTAACTCTCAGCAACACGAAGATCCCTCCGAGAAAACTCTACACCTTCATATGTGACACAAACCGATGGTCAAATACTTAACGGATTAATGTGCTGTTTTTGTTTAAGTAATCTTAACTTTTAGAATCTAGTCTACAAGAAAGTCGACGAACGGTAATTATAAAGAATATGTATCATTTTAATAATCAGTCGATGCAACGTCGCTATGTTAATCCAGATAACATAGACACTTATTTTATGATTATTCTCGAAAGTGTGAAAAATAATGAGAAGAAGCGTTCATTTTTAATGCTGAGTAATAAAGCCAGTAATGATAAATACATATTGTATCGTTGCTAACTTATTTTTGCTATCTAATCCTTAGCATTATTTAAAATGGAGTGAAACTGACTGAATCTTTAAACAACAATGTACACACTTTAAATTCTCTTACCTTACAATTAACGGTCAAAACAAAACAGTTGCTGATACTCAATAAAGGTGGCAGTATGCTATGAATCCTCAAAAATGGAAAATTATAAACTAGATGGTAAAATATTTACTTTATTGATTTATGATTCTGGCCTGTAAAGATTAAGTCGTGAATGTGTGCTGTGTGAGTGTTCAACACTGTAGAGAAATGGCTTCTTCCTAACATAAATTTCTTAGTAGAACAATAGGCGTCAACTCTGACCCGAAACCAATATATACATTTGGTGGGTACATTACACAATATAATGCACCCAGATACCTAGGACATTTAAATTCAACAGCAACTGTTCTGATGAAATTACAGTGATTACGGATTTTGAAAGTTACTCAGTAACAATAAATTGTTCCATTAATTCCTGACAACATTTCACACTCCGGTGAGTGTCGGTTCAATGTACACGAATAACAAACAACTTGAACATACATCCCCTCGAACAGACTCTCATTCTCAGATATTGTTGAGTTAAAACACCACAGGTTGATTGATAGAGGAATGCAAGCATCATTCTTTTCCAGTTGTTCAAATCAAACTAGATAATAGTAATAATAACAATAATATCAAGGGAAATTCACAGGAGCTGAATGATAATTCAATCTACTCTCTCTATCTCTCTCTCTCTACCCTTCTCTTCGTCTGTTTCCATTCTTTTTGGTGGGTTATTTTCTTCCTAATTTATTCTGTATAATCAATCTTGTTAGCAGTCAAGTTTTTTGAGATAATTTACAAATCTATTTATCTTTCTATCTATTTATTATTATTATTATTAATTTTTCTGTGGAGTAAGTGAACCTTGTCTTTGATGCATCGTTTCCATTAAACAGATGAATATAACTAATAAATATACAGACACTAGCAGATTAGAAACACATAGTGAATACTATTTATGTATATATATATATATATATATGTATTCGCCAAAAAAGCACTTCCCTCATTTGAAATATCTTTAAAAGTGTGTTAAATCAACAACAACACCTATCAAAAGCAACAACTACACCAACAATCCCAGTAAAGGCTACAGTTTCCATCTTGATTTTGCCAACTAGCGCCATAATAAAACAATGAGAAAAATAAAAGGGAACAAAAATCCGTAAAAAGAAAAAACAACAACAAGTGGAATTACAAATGAGATGAATTCATGAATTCAAATAATAATAATAATAACCATAATCATAAAAATAGTGATAACTATATGATAGATATAATAATAATAATAAGGAATATTATAATAATTCATCGAATAAATTGAAAGAAATGATATCAAAAAGATTTTCTTAGTTGATAAATCCAAGATTAGAAGGGGAAAAGAATAATTGTGCAACAGGAAAATATTAGCAAAACAAACAAACTGCGTAATCATTAAACCATAACTAAAGAAGGAAAGAGTAGCTCTGTTTTACAAGAATGAATTGAATTCATAAAACACGATAAATATATCTATCTACACAACTGTTCACATATGCATAGCATCAGAAAGGGAGTTAAACTAGGGAAGAAAGTTTTTAAAAAATGTAGAAAGATGGAAATAAATGAATCTACAATCAAAATTTGTGAATAATTAATTCGAAATAAATCAGAAAAAAAAAGAAAAGAGAAGAAATTACAAGTTAACAAAATAAAAGAGAGGAAGATAGAAAAAAAGAGATTCTAATGAACAACATGTATGCATCATACATGTTGTAGGATATAATAAAACGTTTGCCTATACACATAACATGAACATAGCAAAGGTGAATATATAAAAATAAATCTAATGAAGTTCACCCTGGGTTGTGTTTTTTTTTTCATGATTTCTAACATATACTACTACTATTACTACATTTTAGTTATCTCCTTAATTAAATCTAATAATTACTGGAATAGGGAATAAATCAGTGGGAATGGGGTATAGAAGAGGTTGAACGAATACAACATTACGCAATATATAGGTATTTATATACACATGCATTTTATATTCCTTTTATTTCAGATCATACAGTATATGCATATATATATATATATATATATATATATACAGTATTGAATATTAAAAAGATTTCTATCCTTTGTAATTAGTAAGTAAAACGAAGCAGAATTGGTTAATACTTCAATTTTAAATCAGTGCATAACGTAGAAATCCTCGAATTTTGTTTCGATAATTGTTACTAAGGTTATATAGACGATAATAACGTATTTTAATGTTTAAGCGGTAGTAGAGAAGAAATACTAAATAACTGAAGCATCCAAAATGGAAGCATTATAATTTTCAGTTTAAGTTTTCCTCGTCAATTATGCAGACAAAGGACAGTAAGTTTACTACGATTTCTCAAAGTGATCGCAATCGAACGAATCAAATCAACCAGACTTATAGCATACAGAAAGAGAGTGTGATTAATCTCTCACTGCCTTGGTAACTGAATTTTGATTTTGATTACATTAATTAGTCGTCTAATTCAGTGATCTCAACTCACTGAGTAAACTTCAATATGATAAACTGTAACTGCTTTTGTTCATTGAGTTGCTATGTGAACCTACGAACTAATTTTTTTCTTCCTTCACGTTCCTCAGTGGAACATAGGGTCTCAAGCCACTGGCTTGAAGTTTCTGTAACAGTGTTTAATTTTACAGGATGGGGTTGCTAGCCTCATGTCCAACCTTCCCTCTTTACCAGCATTATTTCTGGCTTAGCGAGGTAAAAGAGACGCGTCGGTAGCCGGGGATCGAACCCCGGACCATGTGCATAGTCGGCGAGTGTCCTAACCGCTGTCCCACCGACGCTAAAAACTAATACTGTTTGCTAATTTTTTCTGTTTTCTGTTTCACCCCTCCACCCTCTTTTCTACTTCGAAAGCGTATAACTTGATGATGAATACTTAAACTAAAAATGTAATCGTTCCATTTCGGATACGTCAGTTTTATAGTATTTCTTCTCTACAACCACCTAAACATTAAAGTATGTTACTATCATCCATATAACCATTGTAATTTCAGGTAGTCTGCAGCTGATGACAACCTGTGAAATAGAATGATATAATTTTATACTGTAAATTTCGTCTTCCTTTCTTTATCTAAATAATTATCAAAGGAACAAAATGTATTAAATTCTTACTAAAAAAGATTATAAGTGATATGACTTTCTAAACATTGATACAAAAATCTTGGTTAGATGTCTCCTTTTTCAACATAAGTGATAAATTTATTAAACTTTTGCATAAGGTTGCCTGGTATTCATCAATGAGACTTTCGTGTCAATAATAATCCGTAAGTGTGACAAAAGTAAACGTGACGTACGCATACCTAAGATGATAAAATTTGAACTATGCATTCTATTGCTTCTAATTAGTATATTATTTCAAAAGCCTTAATTGTGGGATACGCAAAAACTGGCTAGTTTTTTTACTGAACTAATCTGGCGTTATCATGTACGGATCAAATCGAAACATTAATTATCATCATCGAACAAAGCATAGAATGACGGATAAAGCACTACCTCAACTTCATCGACTTTTCAAAGGCCTTCCACAGCATTGACCTCAAAGTAATTTAGAAACAACTTCAACACTATGGAATGCCATGAACATTTATCAACCTCATTCAACAGTTATATGACAATGCCACATACTAAGTGATTCACAACGGAAAACTCCATGAAGACTCTAGAGAAAAAAACAAGAGTAAGACAAGGCTGCTTATTATCACTGGTGACATTTCTAATTTTGGAGGACTGAATTATTCAACAGACTGTAGGGAGCGAAAAGACATGATAACGTTGGATCAATAAGAAGACTCTAGAATATTTAAACTTTATGAACGTTTTATGTCTATCACACAAACTCGAAGATCGACAGAAGAAAGCCAGCAAACTTACACAGGAGGGAGGCAGCGAAGATTTGAATTCAGATGTACAGAAAGAAGACATAGGCGATGCAGATAGCCAAACACTTTCAACAGGAGAAATTGGGGAGAAGTCATTTCTTTCATTTGTCTAGGCAGCGTGGTTTCAGCTATAGACGGAACCGAAAAGGATGACAAAACCAGAATCGAAAAGACAAGACAGACATTTGTCACTCTGAAATCAGTTTTGAAATATTCTGCAGTAGGCACTTAGAACAAAATTCGGATCTTCAACACCAATTATGAGTCGGTCAGTGTTTCCACATAGGTCGAAAATTTGACCAGTGCGTCACCAGAAGCATTTCCAACAGGCTACTGAAGGCTTTTATCAACAGCTAGCTTCTTCAATTCCTTACTGAATATTACATAACCAGGAAGAACAAAGAACTCTGCAAATGACTCAACCAAAAACCTGTCGGCCAGTAAATGTCCCGGAGAAAATGGAGATGGATCGGGCGCATTCTGAGGAGACAACCAAGTGACATAGAGCGCCAGCCATTGAGTGGAATTCAAATAGAAAACAACGAATTTTTTTCCACCTGAGGGTGACATGGAAGAGACTATGGGAAGACGAAATGACAGCTTGCAGACAGTTGTGTAGCCAGATAAAGAGGACTGCAGAAAACAGCTTGAAACGGAGACGTAGTGTTGAAGGCCCTATTTCTACTCAGAACCTAAGGGAATTATAATATATAATAATCTGCCGTTAGTACCAAATAATGTCCATGTGCTTCTCCTGTATACTCTTTATACTACCATCTGGTTTTCTTGTAAGGAAGACCTCTAGGAAGGCAATTCTATTTTGGGATTCCTCTTCGCACGTGAATTTCATAGCAGAGTGTGCTTCATTGAATTGAGTTATTATTGTGTTCCTATTCGAATCATTTTTACAAAGAATAAAAGTGTCATCCATATACCAGCAACAAAATGAGAATTTTCTTATTCGGTTGTTCAAAGGTCGATTATCTCGTTTACTTAGAAAGAAATCTGCCAAAATAGGATCTAATGGGGAGCTCATCGTCACCCTGTTTACTTGTCTGTAAAGTGTGCCATCAAATTTGAAATTTACATTCGTGATACACCTTAACAAAAATTCTTTTAGGATTTCCTTCAGGGTTGCCAATATTTATCGACTAGCTATACACTTGTTCATGTATGTAGTTAACTGTTTTTACTAGAGGTACATTTGTGAATAAAGTTGTTATATCCAAAGATATTATAGTCTTATCCTTGATATCTTTGATTTTGTCTACGAATTTAAATATATCTTTGACGCTATGTTTCACTAACCCGATGATGAATTTATCGAAAAGAATGTTCTTTGTTCAGTAACTATACTTTTGAAAACCCTTTAATGGGCAATTTTTAATCACCATGAGCTGACATCAGTTAGAGAACCACTGGAAAACCTGGGAGTGCTGGACAGCTGTTTGGTCCTAGTTTGGGACTCTTAAGCAGCTGTCCAGTACTCCCAGGTTTTCCAGTGGTTCTCTAAGTGATGTCAGCTCATGGTGAAATCCTCCATGCAATCAAACAAAATCCTTACAAAACCAATACTTGGAAATTTTTTCAATCAGTTAAAATGTTCAAATTTACCAAATATCTGCTCCGGTATTTTCAACAGTTTCATATCATCAACTTTCACAGTAGATTAACCCTCACAACTGTGTTCTAATTACACACTGAAGACAAAAGAAGGATTGAATTTAACGAAGAAATAAAAATAATGCTTAAGGTACAAAGAAAATATCCTTAAACTGAAATAATAAGGATTAGCAGTGTTAATAGAAACAAAAACTGACATTCAATAAATTTGTTTTGTTTTAGATTGACCTTCATTGAAATTTTCTTTCAACATTTACTTTTATCAAGGGAATTAACAAGTTCAAAAATAATGATACATACTTAGTTAAACGTAGGTTTTTCTTAAAAAAAATATTAGATATTTTGTCTACTTGTCTGTTCTATTCTTAAGATAACTGGCAATTAATATGTCACTAGTTTTAATTTGACAATATAATTAAACACTTTTAAAAGATATTTCTTTGGGATTATAATTATTTATAATTTCATATTTATATTTTAGGAAGTACAAATTGTTAATAAAGGCATTGAGCAGATTGATAAACTTATTGAAAAAGCAGATATTCAGCTAAAGTAAGTTCACACTTATATGGTTTGAAGGGATTCAGTTTGCTTATTGTAGGTTTCATCATGGTATAACAATCCCTTGGGTTCCAAATGGGACATAGAGCTTCAACCGCACATCTCTAGTTTGTCCTATTCCCTAAGATCCTCTTCAACTGTCCATATTCTGTCATCCTCTCCCTGAACTATCTCTTTCAAGTCACACTCGGATGCCCCATCTGTCGTTTCCCTTTTGGGTTTCACCGAAGCGATGACTTGGCACTCATGTCACCCAACGGTCTCTTCGATCTATCTCCACTTTCTTCAGGATATTTGTTGGGCGACAGGTATTTGGTTGAATCGTTCCTAGAGTTTCTTGTCGCTAAATCTTTTTGGCCACTTGATCTTCAGTATGGGACTGACGAGAGCAACTGTTGGTACACGTCTGCTGTAGCCTGTTGGAAATACTTCTCATGGTACGCTAGTCAAGTTTCTGAACCATACAGAAGCACTGATCGACTTAAGGTTGGTAGTGAAAATCTGAGTTTTTAATCTGTGCTTGCTGTAAAAGATTTTCAAACAGATTCCAAAGTGATCGTCTGTCTCTCCTTTCTGATTCTTGTTTTGACATCCCCATCCGTATCGTCCTTAATAGTTGAAACGATGCGGCCCAGGTAAGTGAAGGAAGTAACCATTGACAGTGACTGATGCTTGTTGTCGGTGACCGGGTATCTTCACCACCTCCATATTCCCTGTGTTCACTTGAAGTCCTGTGTTTTCTGATTCTCCTGTCAACTTGTTGGTTTTCGCTTGTACATCTTTGTGTCTCTGTGACATTAGGCATAATTCGTCAGCTGAAATCCCGATCTTCTAGAGTCATTTTATCAGGGTATATACATTTACTACAATGATATTAAAAACTTGAATGCATCGGACAGTTTTCCGTTTCAATTATTCATTTACGCAATAATAAGTGTCCATAAATTCTTGCAAGTTTGATTGGAATGATGACTTTTTATCGGAATATATAGATAATGCTTGTTTCAATCATTCATAACATACTACGCATACTGGTATTATGTTTTATAATATGTAGATGGAAAACCTCTTTAAACCCATTAAGGCTATTTTTATATTTCAACAGGTCACCCACAAACAACCTCTACAAATGTCTGTTCTTATTACTCTAACGTTTTCAAGGTGTATACAATATACAGACAAGAATTTACTTAATTTTAAATCAAAAAATAATAAACTAAGAATTCAATCAAAATAAAGTTATTGAGACTCATGATATTACTTTTAGTGTCTAGTTAGACCCAGGTGAAATCCTACAAAAAAGAAGCTCAGTCAAATACCGCTAAGATTGTTAAAGCCTTGAGATTCTGCTGAAAAACTAAACACTTTGAATTTAAGAGAGACTTATATCACCGAAACAATGAAGTAGAAAGGCGTTCACTTGAAAACCTTTTAATAAATAATCTAAATCTGAACAATATATCCTCGTAAACCTACATCCCTGATACTAAAACATGGCACACAACAGTTAATAATTCAAAGTCCAATAGTAACATTATCTAAAAAATAAAAATGAGATAAATATGAATTGGTTCCCTTAGATTACCTATTTCTATGAGAAGAAAATAGTCATTTTCTTGTCAGTGTAATAGGGAAGGCAAGTTATTCGGACAAGCATTCGAACCTTAAATACTAAACGCCCCATCAGTACAAAGACATCATTTGTCTGGAGTCTTTTTAAGAAGGGTTTATATCTTAATAGCATGTAAGAAGGAATCCGAGTGGGTGTGTACTACCGACGAGTCCCCAAACTAGGACCGAGGAAAAAGCTGTCTAGCAGTACTCCCTGGTTTTCAATGGCTCACTAACTGATATCAATCCGTGATCAACTAGCAGAAACAAAACTATTCCTTACAAACCAAACTATAGAAAATTAATCTGATACTCGCTAGTGACTTGCTACAGGATGGAGTTTCCTGGAGTTCTAGTAAGCACTAGTGACCAGTAAGGTGCATCCAGATGTCATGTATGAGGATGGATATCCCACCGACAACACTGGTTGGGGTCGCAATAAATCACGAATTAGTAGAAGTTAGAATTCACAAACTGACCATTGAATCAGCTCCCAGTGGCTGAATGGTATACGAGCTTGCCTTGTAACCGGAAGGTCCTGAGTTTGAATCCCGGAGGTGGGCGCGTACTGCCGATGATTCCCAAACTAGGGCGGAGGAAACAGATGTCTGGCAGTACTCCCTGGTTTTCAATGGTTCACTGACTGATATTAATCCATGATTGACTCGTAAAAACAAAACCATTCCTTACAAACTAACTATAGAAAATATAACTAAAAATCTTAAAACAAATAACTGTAGGATTAAGGTCGTCCAAAAAGAAATAGATTTAAAGGTGGCAGAATAAATACTCCAAAACGATGCGCTACAGCAGGAGACATAACAAATGAAACGTCAAAGTATTTAAAGGTTAATCAACAAAAACTACAAACCAGCTTCATCTACCCAAAAATACAATATTCCTAAGAATTAATTATCCAAGTCCAAGGTAATTTCATCTCTGAGTCTTCTTTGATTGAATAAACACGACATAAGCAGTAATACTTGTCTAATAGCATTTTAAAGTATCCTGAAATGTTTCACACTAATAAAGACGCGAGTAAACACTGTGTGTAAAAGTTTATTGTGTAAATTATACCATCTCCTGTTATATGGTATATAAAGTGTAATTTGAGAAAATGCAAACTGATAAAGATTTTTGCAGTTTCTGTTATCTTGATGTGTTGTCTTTTCTTTTTTTTGGGGGGGGGGAGAACCTGAAAAGACAGTCCTTAAGAATAAATCTTAAGTACCAAATATCTAAGGTAAAATCATACCTTCTTAACGGAATCAGATGTCTCACCAAAATTATGAAATATCATCAGAGGAAAGCCTTATAATATCAAAATTGAATTAAGCATGTAAAAAAATTACTTGAGCCCAGTTATTGTGTGAGTCAGGAGGCACACTGTCACTGAACGATATTCAAACTATGAACAAAATGCAGCGAAAATTGCTGTCAGATCATTAAGGACTGTAGAAACCTGACTGACTACATTAGACTCTAAACTGATAAACAGTCTTTGATTGGGCACTAATAACTAGTGTGATGTGCCTAGTCCTTTCTTTGGCGCAGACTGAATTCTATCAGTCAGGTTTGCAATATGGCCACCATTCTAGGTAGCTCACCATCATAGTGCACACTGATTTGATGATATTAGATGGTTGGATGCAATCGGCGGGAATCCTTGCCTGACCTAGGTTTCGCGCTAGCTGGCACTCACTAGTCACCAAGGCGTATCTGAAATCTTGAAGGAACTCATGTCCTCTCTGGGATTGCACCAGTTACTGACTGCTGTCCAAACAAAAATATCCGGTACACTCTTACAGGAGGTCACTCGCGAACACGAATAGCTCAGTGGTGACGTCTCTGACTGCAGAACACACTGGGTGACACGAGTTCGAAACTCAATAGGAACATGAGTTCCTTCACGATTACAAATACGCCTTGCTAACTGATAATTACCAACTAGCACGAAACCTAGGTCAGGCAAAACCTTCTGCCGATCGCCTCCAACCATCTGACAAAGTCTTTTGAAGATACGATTGCCATAATACTTGGTGTAACTTTTCACATTTCACTGAAATCATATGAAGAAATGATGATGCGAACGAAAGTCAGCATAACCCATTATTATATTGAACTTTGAAAGTTCTATACACCTACAGGATTTTCTTCCCTTCAGTATTCACTACTAAGATTTGAACAATGCAAAGAAATTTGCTAATAAGCATCTATTTTCTAAATTCCCCCCCCCCCCACACTTTACAATATCTCTATCCGGTGTAAACTATTTGTCAATTGACCAGTTTCTTGTAAGGAAAAACAGACAAAACTTTTAAATTTTACTCAGAATCTATTACATATTGGATATATGTATATATTTTACTATGGTTGCTTGGATGATGTGAAGGGAAAAATTGCATACATCGATTCGAAATTGTCCTTCTTTTCTTAAAGAAGTCTGTATAGACACTTTTACAGTATCATGAGATTTTATGTTATTCTTATTTCTGTCTTATATGAAGAAAAATTAATTTTATATTGCCGTTAGCAAAATGATAATAATAATAAAACGAAAGAAAGAAGGAAAGAAACAATAAGTAACATTCATGTATTACATTACATCATGGGAATAAATCACACATAAATAGAATGTGAATGAAGCAGCCTAGAAGACATTTATTCTAACTAGATTAACAAGTATAATAATAATAATAATAATAAAGTTAACCAACTATTAAAGTCCAACCTAAAACATCTGCTTGGGCATATTGTTATGTGCTTAAGAAAAACAACATGGGTAGAAGAAAGCAACACAGACATAAATACATACGTGTAAACTGCTTCAAAGACTCAGACAACAAAAAGCGTCTTTGTGTCATTAACCCATGGGATTTTGTATTGCATAACTGACCACAGTGTAATAGAATTTAAACAGGCTACCGTTAATAAAGCTGCTGGAAGAGACTAATTCTCTTTACTGCGTGAACACTACTCATTTAAAGTATAACCGCATCATATTGTGTCTATTTGACAGATAAGTGCTTCTTAATAAGATTTAAATCAATGCAATATTTTAAGAAATGTGTAACTTTTTTTTTCTCTACAGTCTGAATGAACCACTTCCAGCCAGTAGTTGCTACCTTGATGTGGTGGTCAGGCGTGCATATCCCAGTGACCCGACGAGCGCAAATGACTGGGACTTATATTCCTGCAGATCATACCATGCCATAAAGGTAGCTGGGGATAGCAGTTATACTTAAAATAGTTATAGTCATAATGTAAGACGTTTATACTATGCTGAAGGTCTGAGGGAAAAGTCATACTGCTGGAGAGTACGGATATAACAACAGTCATGCGGCCAGTGTGTCAGAATTTCCTCTCCGGAAAGAATGATTGGCAAACACAGACGCCTAAATGTGTACATTCAAACCTACTTTGCAGTGGTCCGTAGCCAGTGGTAAGATGTTGATACGGATACAACACAAAAAGCCACTTCGAAAAGCCATTTTTAACCAGCCTCAAGCAGTCGACACCTAGGTTCCGTGATCGCAATACACTTATACTTCTTTGTTCCGGGTGCTCCAAGAAAAAATCAACTTCTAGGGTGTAGGTAATGAGGAAGTAATAGCCTTTCATACACTTCAGTAAGCACATAAAGATTTCCAGTCAGAATGAGTCACTTATGTAGTATAATATATCCAGACACGGAGTATGTTTTGCGATTTATAATAGAATTCTTATTCATTAACAACTTTGCGTAAGATTAGTAGTTTTAGAATAAAATCGGAAATTTCAATAGTATAGCCACTTGTTACAAAATGGTTTGTGCTCAACAGTTCAGTTCACTACCTAATGATATATCGATCAATGTGAAATAAGGTTAGTGTAGACAAAGCAGTCCGTGTACCTGAAAGTCATCTTACGATCTATTTCATTCACAGTAGTAAATCACAGATGGTACACAAATCCAATTGTTGTGGATATTTTTCCCTCTCTGAAATGGCTTGATAAAAGGAAGAATTCGGATTGATAAAAACTCACTTAAAAATGCTGACTACAAAGCATTAGCGTCTGAGAAACGTGTTTCACCTTACTAATGGTCTACGCGGTAATACTGAATGAGTGAATAAATTACTAAGGTAGGATTTTGAACTGCATATAAATTTCCAGCAGAGTTTAAGTTGTAATGATATTTTCCGTATAATTTAGGAATTCCAGTACCTATCTCGCGTCAGCGGTTCAGCAATAGGATGCTCGCTAACCATGCACGTGGCCCTGGGTTCAACTTCAAGTCGACGCGCACCTAAACCCCGCCTAAAGGCTAGTAAACCCGGTAATGAGAAAAGGTAAGTTGTGAGGTCAGACACCCAACCCCGTAAAAAAAACTTCACTCGAAACGCTAAGGAATTATAACCTAGGTATTTATCTTTTTAAGCGGAAATAAAGCTGTCCTTCTTTGAAATATAGTGGTTTATTTATAGTGGAAACAATCTTCGTATTCATTACCAAACTTCAGAATTGCCCGTCACAGGATATATTGCCACCAGAAAAATGTTGTCACCCGTATATTCTGATCTAATTCTACCCAATAAAGAATTTTTACCATGTAACTTAACTTCGCCTAGGATTAAATGTTTAACAACGCTCAGCATCATAGCTGTTGTCTTGACGGGTTCATTTCTTAAGAGAATATCAAAAGTAGTAGTATTATGAGTATTATTTTTCTGCCCAAAACATGATTCTCTCTCTGATATTTAACAGCTTGATTCACGAATAATGATAGTTTAATCTGCAACATGAATGGTGATCAACAGCTCAAAACACTAACAGTAAAAATACTTTTAAAATCTTCTTTGTTTCTACAGACTTTTACGTTCAACACAAAATGAGCTACAAAAAGATGCTAATGATAAGAATCATGCTCATAAAATTGATGATCACTTATTTGGTCTGTGTAATTCGTCAGCAAATATTGCTCTTTACGATGGAATTGAATATATAGACAACACGTAAGTTTTCTTTTTTTTCACTATATTTTAACAATCTACGCTGATATCGATTAATACGCACTGTTCCTAGTAAGATTTAAAGTGAAACTAAATACCAATTGTCTATTTCACAGGTATGAATACATCTTAGAGAATGAAGTCCACTAAATGCCTTATACTTAGGTGTCTAACACAAACGATATATATATATACTTATCCCTTGCACATAATAACAACTTCTTCCGTTATGTGAAAACCCAAATGGTTTGAAAAAGGAAACATTTAAACCTGATTCATTAGTTGACTGGGACACATCAACACCTAGCTTAAAAATAGCATGTGAAATGGTAGAGCGTGTTGATGACTTCATTTATTTGGGAAGTTGCATCAGCGCCAGTGAATTGATCGCTGACGAAATCTCAGCACAGATACAGAAGGCTTGTTTGGCATATGCCAACTTACGCCATCTCTAGCGTAGACGTGATACATGGCTGTCTACCAAAGGATGTGTACACTGCTCAGCAGCAGTTCCTTTACCACTATGAGACATGGTCATTGGAAGACATGAGAAACCTCACTAGCTGTCTTCGATCATAGGTGTCTGCATTCTAAATCTCGTGTTAGATGGCTCAATAGGGTAAGTAATTTGTGGTTAGGAATCGGTTGAGTGCTAGGTAAGAAGGGAAAATCAGTCAATGAGGTTGTGAATTTACATTGATTGAGATGGTTAGGACATGTGTTACGCATGCCTAACCATCGACTGGCAACGTTAGCTGACTTAGGATCCATCAGGTTGGAAAACAGACAGGGGTGGGCAAACCAAAACATGACATCATCAGTCAGTGAAATCCATAACAGTTAGTTTAAGCCGGCTACACAGGGAAGTATAGACTTCCTGGTTGGGGTCCTCGGGATGTTAAGAACCAATGGCTGGAGACAATTAATGATATAAGTCGAAGTTGTTTTCATTGGCGCAGATGCATTCATTCTTTGTGACTTGTCATATCCAATAATATTATATTGTTCTTCCATATTACTATTCTTTTTCCCTCACGCTCCTATTTATCTCGCCTTATTCTCTTCTCTTGGTTTGTGTATTACATGGAGAGTGGCCACTCGAACTGGTGCACATCTTTTCAAAGTTCTATTTTGAAGCCAGTCAGTTGACTTAATCTGATCCTCATCATATGAATTACGAAATTGTAAACAGGATAAAACTGTAACTAGTCTCCTGTAACACCATCAGAATAATTATCTTTTATTCTCAATTAAACAAGAGAATGAGATAACTTGATAGACCCACGATATTATTAGCAATATTAACCGATATTTCTCCTTAAGAAATTTTCTTTTCAGAAGATATTTCAAATAAAAGACTTTCAAAACTGTCCTTTCTTCATCACTTAGTACTTTTGCAATGGCTATGATTTTCATAGACTGTTTTGGATTGTAATTATAAACTTTCGTACTGTTAGTTCCACTTAAATAAAATATGCACAAATTAAGCGGTAGATAAGCTTATGATAAAAGCCAACATACAACTGATATAAGTAAATATAATACGGAAGACTAACCACGTGAATGAATATGAGGCGGAACTGACTTTTTTCAATAATGATAAGTAGAGTGTAGAGGAAAAATGAACTTTGAAACTATTGGTCAAGGAGTTACTTGCTCCCAAAATTGTACCAACTGAGTTACAAGACCCAATTACTTAAGACATCCAAGGTTTATTTCCAATAGGGTCCCCTAATACTCAGGTGAAAAATAGGCAACTGAGAGTGTAACAATTATTAGAAGTAATTCTTTGCTGTATGTGTAGTAACCTTTACTATTATTACTATTATCATTCTTGATTAGTTATTTCTCGAACAGTTGCATTTTCTGCGTATATAAGCAGGAATTCTGTTCTGAGAAATGAATGCTAAGAGAGTAATATTCAACCGTCAGTATGTCCTACATTCACTCATTTGGAATTTCGCAAATATTCACGAGCCAACTACAATCAGTTAACTATTCGGGACCTATAATTTTTTATATTTATTTTTGATTACAGCTTGATTTCACACGGAATATTTGGTACAAGTATGGAATTTTCATCATGGATATCGGTAGCCCAAATTTCGAAGGCCGACCATAGATATCAAGTGTGCGTCGGTAGGGATTCGAACCTCGGCCCATGTACATAGTTGGCGAGAGTCCTAACCACTGTGCCACCGACGCACACCTTTGCGTGATATGAATTTCATTATCACACGGTAACAGTGCTACACAATGTATTTCAGTAAAGTTTGAACCCGATATATTCTTAAATATAAAAGGCTTGCATACCTAAGTTTTTACTCTTATATTAAAATCATACTTAAGTTGAAAAAAGAACTACTGGTCACTGAGTCACTGAACTTTTCAAATGTATCCACAAACTAAAAACATCAAATTAAATAACAATATCATCAACGTAGATTTGGTGACGAAGTGATATCAATTTAAATAACTATTCAAAACCACAGGGTGTACTGAACTTCGAGTGCATTAAACTAAGTCTAAGAACAAACACTTAAAATTGACACTGGATGGGAGTTACTCTATATGGCGAATTTGAGGACAGTTAGAATTCATAGGTCGATCCAGTGGGTGACTGGTGAGTGCACCTACTAGCAGTCTCAAAGCAGGACTTAAATCATTTTTCCATGCTCTATTGTTTTCATTGATTCGCTAACTGATGCCGATCCATCATAAAATTCTAAACTGAAATCAGACAAATCGCTACAAACCCAATACTAGTAGATTGAATTCCATTTTTCAACAAGTGAATATCCGTTACTACAAAAGATTTTCTGTATTTCTCAATGAATGGAGGGCAAAACGGTACTGTTTTCACTGATGTTTCTCTGTTTATTGTTCATAGCACTATTAGACCAGAATTAAGAAAATCTCAATTTACATACAGTAACCGCATCATAGTCCTTCGGCATGACGTAATTTCTACGTTGCCAAATCGATGAATTGGTAAAGATAACAAATCATGTCTAAATTATCACACTGCCAATCTATGACGATAACTTTACTCCCTCAAATCAACCTATGCTTATCGGCTGACACAACAAAACTTTTAAACAACACTCAGTATCTGAATCGAATTTTCAGCAAATAAACACTGAATGGATATGATGATATAGTTCATTAATGTGTATACTTTCACTAATCCAATTTCATTTTTCAAAGTATAAATATTCAGGTAAAACAAATGGTTAATAATGGTTCATAAACAGACCAATATAGATGACTAGAGAACCGTTTACCACTGTTAGCAAATATTTGACCAGAGCCTCTCAATTTTCAACAGTAGATGAAATCATACTGAACTATGATTAAAACTTTTCTAATATTAACCTTTTCCATTACTGATTTTTTGATTACAGCTTGATTCCACACGGAATATTTGGTACAAGTATGTAATTTTCATCATGTGATATCGGTAGCCCAAATTATGCAGGCCGACCACAGGTGTGCGTCGGCAGGGGATCGAGCCCCGGACCATGTACATGGTCGGCGAGAGTCCTAACCATTGCGCCACCGACGCACAATCCCTTGTGAAACCATGGATGTCTGCCGATGAAGAGTCCCAAACAAGGACGAAATAGCTGTACAGTACACCCTAGTTACTAATGTTTCTCGAATTTCAGTCAGTTCGTGATTGAACTTGAAGCCAATCTAATCTCTGTAAATTAGCAGTTGAAAACTGATAAATTAATATTTGCATAAACAGAATGCCGAGAAGTTTTCTACAAAAAGTAACAGAGGACACTGTCTTGAAATTCAAAATGCACTAATATTTATACACAATATATAATGTAAATTGTCTGATAATATAAAGTTACAGTTAGAATATATGTACCCAAATAATGCAAATCAATAAATCATATAACACAGGTGGTGGTCACTGTACTCAGTACCATATGATCATTCTTCAAGCAAGGATACGAGACAATTTTTATTCCCATTGATTGAGTAAACTTCAACTCAAACTCTATCAGTAACGTGTACCATCGAAGCATATTCACTTGAAGACTCCCGTGAAGAGTAAGATTTAACTATGGCATATCGAACTCCGAATATCTTATTAACAAAACTGGCCCTAATAATACATATATTGAATAGCTTCTAAAATATCACCAACTACTTCAAAATATGCCTGCATCAATACAAAACTTAAGCCACAGTTGAGGAATAATAGGGTAGACCAGTTCTTTCTGTGAGTACTTCTTTAATCGTCAGCTTAGCTAACAGAATAGAAATACTTGCAAAGACAGTATGCACGTCTTATTCCTGTCATATGGAAAGTGAGCATTTCGAACTAAGCATCAACACTATTCACTATGCATATCTAATTCCTGCTTTTATGTGACTTAAGGAACTAAAAGCAATCCGTACTTTTATTAAAACAAAATTTTCACTTGCCTAATATCTCATATACCCTGCTGAAATTTTCCCAATATAATCTTATCCAGAGGTGAACATAATTTAAAAAATAATAAACAATGTGTAAATTATTTTCCTAAATTAAACTAGACTACTCATACAGGTTATAAGTAGAATAATCACTAACAGTAAGAATTATTTTTATTCAATATGTAACTTATTTTTCAGTCGGAGTAACCCTACTTCATGGATGAAATATACTCAAGAGAATTTAATTCGATCACAAAATCAACGTAATGCATCCGAAAACCTACGTGAGAAAATCGACACTACATTAAGAAGTGTCATCGGAAACGTGCACAGTCAATTTGTCAGCGTAAACAATGCACTCCAAACTCGAATTACGGAGGTAGCCAGTGCAAGAGATGATCTCCGTTTATCCTTGAGAAAAGTAATTCTTCTAATTTTTTAATTGTGAAATGCTTATTAGGTTACCCAAGAATTATATGAAGTGGAAAACTTAATAGATGCAATTAAGAAAACCACAGACGATAAAATGAAACCGCTAAAAGTTGCACAAACGAGATTGAAAGAAAGAACTAGAAGAATAAATGTTGAAAGTTGCTATGACCAACCAATGAAAACGTGAGTTAATATGTATGCGGAAATAAACTACAAGTATTTGCTTTGTTGAAGCAGGATAAAGGATACCTGTTGAAACTTACTGATTCCCGTTCATTTAAAATGAACTTATATGATTAATCTGTTTGGTTATCCAGGCTCCCACAACGGACCCGTGTGACTGATATAAACTTGTGCTCTGTTATATGATGGTTACCAGTGAGCTACAGGGAGTGTTCCAGACATCCTCAAACTCAACAAACTGGAACCTTTTCAATAGGCCGTATGACAACAGAAACTAGTAATTCCGGTTTACTAAAAACAAAGGAGAAATCCACAAGTTTCTTTTGACTTAGTAGCCCAGTAGTGTGTGAAACAGTGGGTGGCGTTCAAATCCTAATTAGGAAACCATGTAAGTATTCCAAGCTAACAAGCCTCAAGTAAGTCTCATTCAATGTTCATCCTGGATCCTGCTGCTAATCATCGCATATTGACTTACACAGCTGAGCAAATAATGACGCTCATAGAGATCGAAACACCGCAAAATTTATAGTTTCTCAACCCTTGATGTAAACTGTAATCATAAATTGCAAGCTTAGCACCACTCGGAATAAACCAAAGCAATAAATTCAAGCAATGTACACACACAGAGTCTCATGCCTAAGTGCAATCAGGTAGAACACAGCATAAAATACTTGGCTTGTAAACTTGAATAAACACAATATCTGTTTCCATCCTATTGGTATCTGACCATGAGAGAGCAGTGAGTTACCACCTGATGCACTAACTCACATTAATCCGGCTACGTAATACACAGTTTAGCTACATGTGAGACGAGTTCTGCCAATATATTTGCTGAGACACATATCTGGTTGATGGGTTCATAAGCTTCACTGATGCAGCAGTTCAACTTGCTCGTCCCTATCACTCAGTTGAAACATACAGTACAATTAACACAAAGACTAGTTAACACATCAAAAGTCAACACAATCCAAGTCAAAGGCTTCCTGCCGATTACCTTCAACCATCTAATATAATCAAATCAATGTGCACCGCGATGGTAAGCTACCTAGAATGGTTGCCACATCGCAAACCTGACTGATAAAATTCAGTCTGCACCAAAGAAAAGACTAGGCACATCACACTAGTTACTAATGTCAAATCGAAATATCCACTACAGTCTGTCTGGATTCAACACATAACTTGGCACCGAAGTGCAGCAGTTCGAGTTGCCACGTTCCAAATAGCACACAAAGGTAGACAAGAAGATGAGTGAAGAGAATCAATACAGTCTGACAAGTATAAGAGTGAAACAGAATGGGTAATGCTAGAAAGGAATATGAAAGATTAAAGAGACTGAATACATCTGCGCTGGCCATTGACAACGATTTTGAGCCATGTCATCTATTGTCTCCAGCCATTGATTCCTAGAGTCCTGAAGGCCCCAACCTGGAAGTCTGCATCTCCCTATCTGACTCAGTTTAACTGTCAAGGATTTCATGGATTGATGCCATGTTTTTGTTTGGCTACCACTTACTCTTTTCCAACCTGCACCTATATCAGCTAGTAATGCCCGTCGGGGGAGGCGATGGTTAGGCATGCGCAGCACGTGACCTAACCATCTTAGTCTATGTAACTTTATAGCCTCGTCGATCGATTTTCCCTCTTTCCCCAACACTCTATGCCTAACGTCAACATTACTTACCTTATTAAACCACCTAACGTGAGAAAGAGATCGCAGACATCTATGATCGAAAGCAGTCAACCTTTTCATGTCTTCAACTCGTATTGGCCATGTTTCAGAGCTATAGAAAAGGACGGAGCGAACTGCTGAGCAGTACACACGTCCCTTGGTTGATAACCAGATGTCACGCCACAGATGATGTAAGCTGGCGAGAGCAGCTCGAGCTTTTTGGATCCGTGCTGAGATTTCGTCGCCAATTAGTCCGTTGGTGCTGATACAACTTCCCAAATAGGTGAAGTGGTCAACATGTCTTGTCACTTCACTCCCTATCACTAAGCTAGGAGTTGACGTAGTCCAGTCCTGTAGCAGCATCTTACATTTTGCAGGGGCGAGTCGCATGCCAAACATACGAAGGTGTTCAGAAGACTCTGCATTTTGTCAGCTTCCTCCCCTAACAGGACTATGTCATCTGCATATTCTAAGTCCATAAGACTATGCCCTGGTAACAAGTCGATTCCTAAGTCATTGCGTACAGTTAAGGATACTTCCATTAGCATATCTATGATGAAGTTAAACAGGAATGGGGAAAGTTGACATCCCTGTCGGACACCACTGGTTGTTATCAATTCAGATAGCAATTCCCCATAAGCCCTTACACGACTACGTGAGTTTGAATAGAGTGCCTTGATTAGCGCAATGTACTTTCTTGGCACTACCTTCACAGTCAAACATTCCCATAATACCTTTCGATCCACGGAGTCGAAGGCCGCCTTTGAGTCAAGAAATATGGCAATTGTTGGACGCCGAAAAGTGTGTCTATGTTCTAGAAGCTGTCGGAGCGTGAAGATATGACCTGTGCACCCTCTACCTGGTCTAAAGCCTGCTTGATTTTCCTTCGTTTGTTCCTCCCGAGTTCTGCTTAGTCTATGCATGATTACTGAGCCTAGGATTTTAGAAACTATGTTCGTTAGGCTGATCCACTACAGCCCTAAAGGAGGTCAATCGCGAATCAAATAGCTCAGTGGTAACGTCTCTGACTGCAGCAGTGTGTGATGCGGATTCGAATCTCAGAAGGGATATGAGTTCCTTCAAGGTTGAAGACACGCCTTGCTGACGATTGCCAACTAGCACGAAACCTAGGTCCAAGGTTTCATGCCGATTAATTCCAACCATCTAATACCATCAAGTCAACAAAATCCTCAGAAACACGATACAAAGTCAGATATATTGCCAACCTGTCTGCTTGCTCTGGCAATCACTTGTTCATTTAACACTGCCTTGGACACCCATACTCTACGAAATCTATCAGCTAGGGCAACTTGATATTGCATAAATGCATTTAATCGTAATGCCAGAAAAATACATGTATTTTCCAAAGACGCAGACTAATACACGTTAATCAAACCGTAACTTCGAGTGGATTATTGATGGAATGCATCTAACCGAAGCCCCAATACGCACCATGTTTACAATACAGAGTGTCATTCACCAGTGTGGCTCACAGTCTTTGCCTGATGAAAGCCAGTGTCACGGGTATGGGATAAAGAAATTGAAGTATCTCACCCTGAACGAATACTAGACCTAACCGCTGAGCTTAATAGTTATATTGTTTCTAATACGAAACCACCTTCCAAAGTAGATTTCTCACTCTAATCAACATAGAAGCTAACCATGACAAGCATTAGTTAAGATGAAAAACCTAAAACCATACACAATGAATATCTATGAGGTACTGGTAAGCCAGTTTGGAAAGCTTCTTACAGTAACTTGTCGATTAGAAATGATCATGTAAATGAAGTCTTAATTAAGTTCTTTCTTCTTTTGCAGCCTTCAGACCGAAGTTCTGGAACTTAGGAAAACAATTGAAGAACTGAAAAACGAAAGAAGAAATGCCTGCTTAACATTAGCTCGACTACAGAAGAGTCGAGCGTTGCTAGAAAAGGAAATAGAAACAAAAGAGAATTCTCTGTCAATCGATCAAAAGTGTTTAAGTATGCGGAAAAGTTTTCCCATAAAAGACAAACATGGATCGTTGTACGCTATTCCAGTTAGCTACTAGACAAATATGACAATTATGTAAGAGAATAACGGCCTACACATATATGTTTAATCCTATATTTTTCGTCAGTTCACTTTGACTGTAACACAAACCACACGGACAGAAAAGCATACCCAGAATGAATATCATAATAGGATTCCACATTATTTTAATGTTCTATCGTAACACCGGGACATAGAAAAAACCTAGGTCTAGTCACTAAGTTATCACATACCACACGTGAAAAACTACTGTCCATGTCGTTACAACACAAATTCGAGTCCAGCAGCGTTGAAGAATAACTAAGTAGATCGGTGGAAATTAATTAGTTGCTGCCACTAGTAACACATATGACCAATAACCAACCGATAAAAATGAAGACGACAACATTGCGGCTATCGCATGGCACAGACTATTTCAATATCACACAATACTAGTAAAAAACAGAATAAGAGTCCCCGTAACAGTGTATTTAGTAATTATTTCTTTCGTGACACACCAACAGTACGACCACGTCGCCCAGTTGTCTTAGTATGCTGACCGCGAACTCGTAATCTGAAAACAAAAATATTGAAAATATCATTTAAAGCAAAAACAAGTGAGGTTCAAAAATCAAAAAAACATCATCTTCCACCTGAAAATGGACAAGGATGATAAATGCGAAGTCCTTATAATATGCACACACAACTTTTGTATCGAAACTGATACAGAAAGCCACCGAAGTAAGGTTTGATCACCACCAATATAAAATAAGAATTGACAGAAAATAATCCATGCAATGGACATATAGTAATTTCAGTCATCACACACACACACAACAGAATCAAGTATGTGAGAAGACTCAGCAACACTCGATAAGTCGCGTAAATGCATGTTCTTCTGTCTGTCTCTTTTCGACATAGAACTTTGCACAAATGTGCGGCAGTTCAAGTCGCCACACTCCGTGTAGCACGCGAAGCAAGAGAAGAAAGTACAAGAAAAGCATAACAGAGACAGTGAGCAGAGGTGTGAGACAAAGGAGTAAGAACGAAGAACAAAACAGTTTCATTGGAGATCATAAGTAACAAGGAGTGGATGCATCTGCGCCACTGAGAACGATTTTGAGCCATGTCACCAATTGTTTCCAACCAAATATTTTTACCGTCCCGAGGACCCCAGCCTGGAAGTCTACACCTTCCTACGTGGCTTAGACCAACTGTTGTGGATTTCATTGACTGGTGCCATATTTTGATTTGACCTCCGCTAGCTTTTCCCCGGCCTGACCCAATATCCGCTAACATTGCTCGTCGAGGGAGGCGATGACTTGTCATACGTAACACATGTCCTAACCATCTCAGTTTTTGTAACTTCACAACTTCGTCGATTGCATGTTCAAAAACTATGTGACTAATCCTACACAAAAAAACAGCTACACTTCACGCTTAAAATCAAGATGTATTAGCATTCCGTTTGAGTTGTGTTAAGTGAAATGTATCAGGAAAAACTAACATATTGGCGAGGATAACAAAAGCCAAAGTAGTTAAGTAAAACCGAGCTGTACATTTCTTGCAAGAAATCTCGAGTGACTGGTTCCAACACAGAACCCCGCACAGTAGGAGCTGCTATACTTGATGACACTCACAAAAGATAACTGTAGGTTCAGCAAAACAATAGTAACATAGAAAGACAATAGGTCTTAGGTATGTCAGATCAAAGAAAGAACGATCTTGAGCTATATCACCAATAGTCGTCAAACCATTAGTTCTCAGTATTCCCAGGACCTCAATCAAGCAATTTCCACCTCCCGAATTGACTCAAACTAACTGATATGGATCTCATTAACTGACCACCACTAACTCTGTTAATTGATTGACTTTCCCTTCTTACCTAACCACAATACCACCCATCCAATTATAGCACGTAGAGGAAAGAACGCAGACACCTATAGTCAGACAGTCAGCCAGTCTTTTCGTGTCTTCCACTCTCAAAAGCCATGTCTCACAGCCATACAGGAGGACGGAGCGAACTGCTAAGCATTATACATATCCTCAGATAGATAACCGGACATAACGTCTGCGCTAGAGATGGTGTACACTGGCAAGTACCACACGAGCTTTCCATATCGTTGATGAGATTTCGTCAGCAATCAACCCGTTTAGGCTGACGCAACTTCCCAACACTTCACCCATATCTAATACCAAATAACTCCAGCGAGCTCTCAAAGACGGCCGAGAACACCTGCAGATACCGAGACTCACCTCCTAGACCAAGGAGTGGTTGCAGACGATTAGGTGTCGCGGCATTTGAACAAGTCCGGAGACGCCAACCACTAAAAGCTAGTTGATGTATCATAGTTAGTAAGTCTTGTCACGAAAACACTGGCATTCAGTGAAGTCAGCTGCTTTAGGTATTACCGCAAAAGTAGCTATAGAATCAAATTTCCTAATGTTCAGTGCACGGTGATTATCGTACACACGGTAATCAAAGACATGAAGCAGTATTTGATACGATACCATTTAAATGCGAAGACCGATGGAAACGTACCCCCAGTAGTGACGAATACCACGGTGAGACCTAATTCTCTTCAATCGCTCGAGATCTTCACGGAGTTTGGTTTCCAATGCACCAGACATCAGTTGGGAATGTTTGCCATCTTCTATGTCTTTCTGTCTATTTAGAAACCAGTCAGGAATTTTGTATTGTCTGGGATTGGCCATTACAGTAACAAGCTTTTCAACTTCATCTTCGGTAAGCTCTCCAGCTCTTTTATTCAGATCAATATCAGCTTTTTTGCAAACAACATTAGCATAGCGTCGACCAACACCTTTGATTGACGTAATGGCATACATAATTTTCAGTTGGCCATCAATGTTCGTGTTCAGCACACGAAGGATGTGCTGAAATTTCTCTGGCAGCATAAGATCCTGAAAGACGGGTCATGTTACCTACTAACTGAAAACCTACCATCGTGGTTACCACACTGAGTCTAACTACCCGGCTAAACTGTCCAATGACCCACGTCTTAATTACTTTAAACACAGTTCAATAAATAAAACTAAAATAGTTATGGAGAACACTGACTTGTTGCTAACTTTGCGTTATCCCTGCTACAGCAATTTAAATCTGCTGCAACACTACCACTTTAATGTCAGTACTATAATAATAACATATATTCTCATTTTCGTACATGAGGGGCGCCAGTTTACAGGCATCATCAATTCCATAAATTACACATACGATTAGTAAGCATATTTAGTAGAAATAATATAATAAGGTACCTATTTTTCCCTAGCTATGTAGGATACACCTATTGCATAGGCATGCATAAATATTGTTCAAATTACATGAATAACGGTTGCTGTCATTTTGTCTTTAGTTTGTGGGAAAAATCTAATAACTAGTGATTCAATAGACCATATCAGGAGATATATCGGGATATTGACTTCTCATTAACAAAAAACCCAAGTATTCGTTGGATGGATTACGGATACTAGGGAAAATAAATAAAGCTTGAAGTCAATTATTGAATTGAATTTTTGATTTTCCCGTCGATTGATTGGACCGAAGTGTTCGGTCTCAGGTTGACATGTCGGCTTCTTGTGCAGATGCTTCGACGATGTCTGAGGATTTGATTTGTATACACATCACTCACTGAGAAATGCAGGTACATCCAGCTGACGAGTCCCAATTAGGACGAAATGCGCATCCTGGATTCCACTGCTAGCCACCATCCACCTTGAAGTCAATTCCCTAATAAAACAATAAAAAGAATCTTATAATAATATACTGTCTTTTAATGCACATGACAGTTGACAGGCATCATCAGTATGGTAATAATGTACACATGGAGTAAGAATGTTTAAAAATATGATAATCAAGTAAACATAAGACAAAATATGAATCAGTCCACCTCCAGTATTTACTCTTCCAAAATCCAATATCGTTTTTACAAGCTAGTATAAACCAATTTGATTTCTTTGTGCTCGCTTCTTGATTGTAAGGTATGGGTTCCTGGTCTTTGGTAAACTTTCGCGCAGCTCGTTCCACCACTCGACTGTCGTAGCTTTGGTTGACTCCCAAGGGAGTAGTGCTGGGATTAATTATATATGGTTTGTAGTATGAGGTGTTTTACTGTTACTATTGTGAGTGGAGTTGATCCTTTCACCAGTTAGTCCTCCGGTATCATCGTCAAAAGGAAAGAGATAATAATAGATATAATTAGTGAAGTTATTCAGACTAACAGACAGAAAAAGAAATAAGAAAACGTAACAACAGTCAGCTGATTAAATCTGAAGAATAACTTGAATTATATATATATATATATATATATATATATATATATATATATATAGGTAATAATGATAATAATAACAATAGGTATAGTTAAAGTTGTCAGCAGAGTAAGACGGGAGAGAATGTAAAGAAGTGAAACGACAAGTTTAATTGTCTACCCCCTGAATGGTGTATGCGATTTTAAAGGGATAGGCCATTTGGATGCAGTCCTTGCGTCGCTGCATGGTTGTCTAGCCTTCGCTTAAGGGCGTCCACAGACGGTACCATAGCTACATCTGCCGATAAGGAATTCCAGGGACGGCAAACCCGCAGTGAAAAGAAGTGGGAGCGCACCCGGGTCCTTGCCCTCTGGTGAACTATCCTTCTGGGATTTCCACGAGGGAGCCTATACCTACTCAATGGCAGAATACCTTTGTTTGGGTGATTCTGGTCATTTGTTATATTAAATGCCCCCTAAGACGTCGGTAGTTAAGTGTCAACAGGCCTAATTTCTTCAGCCTTTCATCATATGGTTTATTTCGGAGACCAACCACTCTTTTTGTTGCCCGTCGTCGGACTCTTTCTAAGAGGTTAGTGTCTCTTCTAAGCAGTCAGGGTGCAATAATATTATGCACTTCGAGGTGTGGTCTGGCGTATGTTTTGTACAACCCTAGAAAGAGCTCAGGAGTGATTGCACCTAAGTGTCTATGTGTAAAGTGTATGACCGCATATGCCCTCGCTACATCCACCGTGTAATTTAAGCTTGTGTCCATTTTTTCCGTTAGAACTAGACCTAAGTCGCGTTCCGATGCTGTGCAGGATAAGCTTTCATTGCACAGGGTGTAACTTGCATTCTGCAGTCTACAGGTGCGCGACTTCACTACTTTGCACATTTTCAGTTTGAAAGTCATGCCACTGGCCACCGCCCAGTCTTCCAGAAAGTTTAGATCTTCCTGCACCCTATATGAGTCCTCCGGACACTTTATCGCCCTCCATATCTTTACGTCGTCAGCGTATAGAAGAGTCGGGCAGCTTAGACGGCATGGTAGATCATTGATAAAAATCAAAAACATCAGTGGTCCTTGGATAGAACCCTGCGACACTACTGATGACGAGCTGTGCCAAGATGGTCGGACTCGATTGACCTTAGTGCAAAATTGTCCTTTAACCATGACAGAAGTGACTTACCCATACCTGCCTGGCTTATTCTGTGTGGGAGGATGTCATGGCGAACGGTGTCAGATGCCTTCTCAAAGTCTAGGAAGACCGCATGGACTGGAATATTCATATCCCAGCATGATGTCCACTCGTCCCAAGCCGAAAGTAGGTTAGTAACGCAGGATCTGCCTTTCCTGAAACCGTGTTGGGCTTCATGGAATATATTGGACCTATCGAGGTATTCCCTGATGTGATCGTCAATAATACTTTCCAGTACCTTTGATACCACTGGGAGTAGAGCTACTGGTCTATAACTAGTGGCATTTCGCCTATCCCCACCCTTGAAGATCGGAGAAAGGATGCCTCTTTTCTACTCCCTTGGCAGTTTCCCCAAATCCATTGAGTGCTGGAACAAGTCGCATAAGGGCCTACAGAGAGCTTTGGCGCACTGCTTCGGAACAGGTGGTCTGATGTCGTCACAACGTGGGGACTTCCCAGGTGTGAGTCGCTGTAGCTTCCTTAGTACTATTGCGGGGTTTGTTTGGGGAGTAGCCACTAGGTCTTCTTCCTGTGAAATAGTAGTGCCACCATTTTGGTCCGTAACGGTAATACCCACATTACTGCTTAGCTGTTTGGCGAAAGCTAAATTGAATGTTTCGGCCATCTACACACTAGTGAGATATTGACTGTTTGGGCCTACTAAGGGGCATGCCCCCTGGTTGGTTGGTTTTATTTCCGACATGAATCGATACAAGTTGTCAGCCACGTCTCGTAAACCGTTAATGCCCAGCTCTTGCTGCACTCGGGCTCACGCTGTCGCTTGGAGTTTCTCAGAAACGCTTAGTAATAACGGACGCAAAAACCAAAACGCCAATTGGCGACTCGAGGATTCTTTATTGTAACACCAACATATAAACAATGTTACAACTAAGGTCTGTGAACAAATATTACAATAATAAATCACAATATTACTTCTGACGGTTGTCTCCTGACTTCTTTCTGAACAGCGACCGATGAGACGATGACTGGCTGATTGATGCCTCCGAGAAAATTGGGGAAGTTGGTTTTGAGCAAACAACCATGAATTGATCGTTCAATCCTCAACTACATTGACAGCTGCCTTTCAAGCGGAGGCTTTTAGGGATATGCTCGGAGAGTCTAGCAAACGCATTCCTCTTAGTCCTTCCTATTTACTTGCTGCTGCAAGTGCAAGTGAATTGGCAAACCCAGTTGGAGTTGACATGAACAGGATACTTATCTACTTTTGACTGGCTTAACGAGCATGCTGTTTTGTTTATTGGAATGAGTCTAGCGGCGATAAGTAATCTTTTCAACGCACCTTCAATTCTGTTTTCTACTCTTGTGGATACTCCTTCAACTTTGTACTCAGTAGAGTAGAATCCACTGGATATAAGGAGTTCGTATTATTTTGAAAGTATGCACCTTCTGTCTTGATCCTCGCAACCTCGACAAGTTAGTGAAAAGCTCTGAGTGGAATTGGCATCCTTTGCCAGCGGCTATCGATGGAGGTATGCTGAAAATGGCTGCATAGTGTTGTAGGAAGGCCTCTGCTATTGTTTTGACAGTAATGTTATTAAGTGGCTCAGTTAAAATGTACCTGATAGACCTGGCAGTGCATTCGAACGGGTAAGTGAACACGTTAGGGTGTGAAAAGGGACATGCCAAACCCAAATGAATATGAGCGGGGCGAGTATCAGGTTAAGTGAATGTTTCTAATGGGTCTGTCAACTTTCGCCCTACGCGTGGTATACACTCCCTTGCCCACTTCTATAGGTTATGTTGTAGATTCGGCCAAATATATCTTGCAGAGATTATTTTAATCGGAGCTCTTGCCTCAGGGAACGATACAGAGTTAAAACTCTTGAATATAGATTTCCTCATAATTTCGGGCACAAAGCGTCTAGGTGAATCTTTACTCGTGCCACAGTATATTAAGTTGCCATTTACATGACGTGGCAATCGCCTTAGTTTGAGGCTAGAGTTGCTTGCAGTGAGAAGATGCTTTGATTCGTCGCCATTCTTGTGAAGATCCGCCAGTGCTCTAAAGTCTGTGGTGGGTTGTTGTACCAAACCCCCATGCATTCTGGATAGTGCGTCAGCCATGCAGCTCTCTGCCCCCTCCATATGTCTTACATCACTAAATAATAATAATAGTGTATTCTCACTTTGTACATGAGGGACGCCAGTTTACAGGCATCATCAATATGATAAATTAGATATGATAAATTATATATACTATTAGCAATCATACTCAATAATAATTTTTTATTAAAATACATATTTTTCCTACCTGTGTAGGACACACCAAATGTACAGGCATGGATAAGCATTATTTAAATTTCATAAATTCGGTTTATGGTTAAATTACATGGTTGCTGACGTTTTTGTCTTTGGTTTGTGGAAACAATATGATAACCAGTCATTCAATGGAGCACATCATGAAATATAGAAATATTGTCTTCGCATTAACAAAACAACCCAAGTATGTTTTGGATGGATTAAAAATACTTGGGAAAAAATAAAGCTTGAAGTAATTCCACAATAAAACTTAGGTGTGTACAAGTCCGAATCTCATTTTTGATGCATATCCAAATTGGGTAATAAGAAAGCTATTTTTAAAGATACGATCAGTTATGTTATAAGTTACAATCGTGACGTTTTATTACAAACTGATACTT